GGGAGATGCAGCATACCACGATATCCTGGCTTCGGCTGGGCTTGAAATAACCCTTTTGCTGTCCTCCGCTCTTTGCATCAGTGGCTTCCTAGGTTCGGGCGAGGGCATGTGTGTAGCTGAGATGTGTGTCTTCGTGAAAGAACATGTAGAGAGAGTCGTATTGGCATTCGCATCAAGCGCATTGCGCATTTTTCGAATTTTGGCCTCCTTCCAGGGACCTTGATTTTTACCCGCTGGCACTGACGTCTTTTAATTGGTCAGCCGGTTAGCGCGGTCGATGCTAGTAATAAAAATACACACACTATGCTAATAATACAAGCACACACACACACTCTCTCTCTCTCTCTATCTCTCCCTTATTCCACCTTCACGTACGTCGCCATACTTGACAGACGATTAAGGCGCGTGAGTGGGAGCTCGGCCTGATTACTGAGGCTCAGAGGTGCAAAGAGAGCAAAACGGTCGAACCCCCGTTCCTGGGATACAGGCTGTTTCGAAGGTATGACCATCCGCTGTATATGTAGATCCCGGCGCATATCTTAGTGTCGGGACACTTATATCTCCCTCCTCCGATTTCTGCGTGCTCTAAGTATGACATCCCTGCTTCTATGCATCATGTCCGAAATTTCCCTCAGTGTGTGCGGAGAGTTCCTGGGCTGCTTGCTCTTCCTGTTCATGGGTGAGAGCATATGTGATGTCGTTGATGGCGGACGGACTAGACTATAGCAACCATTTGGCGCACGGTATAACGCGTATGCCATTTTAAAAAGCGGGGCTAGAAGAACAAACTACTAGGTAACAGTTTAGCACATCGAACCTCATGTTTCCTCAGAATACCCTAGACAAGTTCGAAAAAAGTCACGTTATGGGCAAGTCATGTTCAGGGCCCCAGATGACGCTAAACAATCAGCAGGGATTAATACTGTTTCCTCGCCATGTCACAGACTGTTGGTGTCGAAAGACGAGCCTACGGTGCATCCCGCAGCGATAGGCATGGCTTGTTCAGCGCCTGCTTGATCACACATGCGTGACCGAAACAAACGCGACCGGTGTTCAACATACTCTATTTGTGAAAGGCACAAACGATATTGACTGGTGCGCGAAACCTGCTGGTGTAGAAGAGGGCTTCACTGACCTACCGGCAGGACTCTGACCTCGGTTAGCTTTTGTTAGAGGACGTGGAATGTCAGGGAAAACCTCTTGTTGACCGCACTCCACACCAACGATGGGTCAGCGAGGCACTTACAACCATATGGCCCACAGTTGCGGGGAAGGCCGCATGTCTATTAGTACCAAATCAAAGAGACCGAAAGACGCTGCGCCCACCTGGTATGAATCCCTCTGACTCATATTTCCGTATTGACAGCAAAACCTTGTTTGTGCCGATCGCTTAACTCTGAGCCCCCGGCTGCGCGTTCTTGTGTTTCATTTCATCTCTCTCACCCATGAACTGTAGCAATCACGGTCGCCCGACTGGCGGGAAACAGAGAAGACGGTGACGCCGCGGCGGAGCAGTCAGCGGCTATCTTCATGATATCTTCCGCCTTCGGTCTATCGATCTTCGTGCTTGTGTGAGTCCTCTTGAACTCGGTAGTTCCTCAACGTTCCTCATCTGATTTGTTGTTCGCCGCAGGGTCTACTTGAAACATACGAGGAGTTTTTGTACACCACAAGCGGTAGCCACATATGTAGAACCGCTGGGGTGCACGGTAGCTGTAGGTGTTGGTGCCATTTATGTCCCTTTGCCGACCCCTCAAGGTCAGTCTAGAACACGATTGGTTCTACATACGTGCCCGGCTGCATTGCCTTCGGTGTCGCCATCCAACATATACGAAGTATATGTTGACAGCCGCAGAAAGCGCTTTTTGCCAGTTCCCTCAGTCTCCATTGGTTTGAGTTCTCATGGCAGATGTGTGCGAGGTGTGTCTACACATGTGGTAGAATCAGACACGCAGGTGTTAGGTCTGTTCATGCGAGACTCTCTTGCACGTTGTCGGATCGCCAAATGACGGTGCCACCCTGGGCCTGTTGTCGGCAACTACCTCAACCTCCGAGGTGTTTTTCGTCATGCCGCGGTGTATCGGGATTTGGTCGTCTCAAACGACCCGTTTCCTTGCTGTTTCGCCATGCGCACTGAGTTGCGCATCCCCTGTAGGCGTCTCGAAAACGCAAGCAGTGTTCTACATCACCGTCGTATTTCTCGAAAACTTTGCTCGCTCTCGTTGCTCTCGTTCGAACTGGCAGCTACATATTTGCGGACGTTTCCGGCGCCCACCTCAACCCGGCGGTATCTATGAGTCTCCTTGTCGGGAAACGGATTTCAATTGAGCGGTTCGGACTCTACGTTGTAGCTCAGGTGTGCGGTACGAGAGTTTTTTCCTCGCTACCCTACTCGGTACCCTGTTTCCCCCATGTCGTTCATGTAAACGCTGCCGGAAAGTGTGTGCTGATGCTGTTACGATGTTTGGGAAGCACGTTCGGTTCCGGCCGCTTTCTTGCCTCCTTCTTCGACGAACTGATTGCGTGAAGGCAGGGTTCTGATCTAGACTCTAGCTTCGAATGGTGCGGTTTTTGTCTTCGTTTTCACCCAAGCTTGGTAATCGGATTGGACTGTTTGTCGAAGCTATTAATGTGTGTATGGAACGCAATGCCAAAACACAGCGATTGGCACTACACGTTCGACTAGTTCTTCGGACACGTAACCACCAAATCCTCTGTCGCCGTGATACAAAACATTTTTTTCTTGCAAGATTGTACTAGTTAGCCCGCGGTCCTGCTGGAGGGGCACCTTGTCCAATCTTTCGGTACACTCAGTACGCCTGCCCAACGCCTTGCTGAGCACAGCCTTTCGCCGTTTTCTGCACCCCGTGTTCGTGCATCCCTAGATGGCAGGCGGTGTTATTGGAGCGTCAATGGCCAACTCTTTTCCCAGCACAACCGGCGGCGGTTTTAACGCAATCGCGGACGGTGTTTCGGTACGTCTTCGCAAGGTTAACCCAGTGGGCCTAACGTTGCCTTCGATCGTCCAGGGGAAGCAAGGAAAGTCAGAAGTCCCGACCCTGATTTGCTCGTTGTTAACAGCGCACTCCTCGTTATACGGCAACGAATACAGCTGTTCATTCGGGAGACCTCGTGCTCCAAGTCGTTGGGTGCCTCTACCTATTATGTACACGGACCAACACGGTGAAAATAAGATATGTCCGACGTTAGCATTATTTCCCAAACTGTTATTGTTCGCCCTGCAGGCTATCGAGGCTTTCGGTGCTGAAGTTCTGTGCACCTTCCTGCTGGTAGTAACGGTCTTTACCGCCTGCGACGGTGAGCTCGGTCGCAAGAACGCCCACACCGGGCCCCTCCTCCCGCTCGTCATCGGGATGGCCGTCTTGATCGGTGAGGACAACAAATACTTGTCGAGCGTGATTCCTGTTCACTTCGATCGGTGTTGTTGGTTATGTCGGTATTCCCCTTCTGGTCCGCACAGTGTTGACTGATGCGGTTACGATTGTTGCACAGCCGAAAGTCCTGCTGATCAAGTGGTTCTTGCCGCTGTGGCAAACAGACGTGGAACCATGCGGGAGGCTTTTCGATAGGAAGCTCTCCCCCACGTTCCAAACAAGCCCATGGGTTGCATTACCGACAACACGCTCTTCCTTGCTGCCCTCTTGATGAGCAGCTCACCTGGTGCTGATTCCCATTGACGGGTGTTCCATAAACCCGGCTCGCTCGTTCGCCACCGCCGTGATCAACAATAAGTGGGACGACCATTGGTGAGTGGGTGTTGATGCGGCCTTCAGACACCGCTGTCTCGCCTCGCCGCTTCTCGGACACACACAGCAAGGGGATGGCATCAAGAATGCTGCTCGGGAAGAAAAAAAAAAAATTGAAAAGACACAATATACTAGGAAGAGCAAGAGCGCTGCTTGGGAAGTAAAAAAATAGAGGCAAACTTATCGGAAGGACACACACGAAGAATAAAACTGACGGGACAAACAAGACCTTGCCCCTCATTGCGCCGTGCCATTGTTCCGGCATGCACCTTCTCGCATGACGTTCCTTGTTCAGAGCGTTGTGCAGGCAACGATGCCTGTCCACGTCATTCTTCGTCCCTCGTAACAACCTCCCTAGCTTCCTCATTCCCTTCAATCTTCTGTTCTTCTCATGCAAGCCGAACTTTTTCGACCCACAACGGCTGCTTGTGTTTACAGGGTATTCTGGGTTGGTCCCCTCCTCGGCGGTGTCCTCGGGACAGCCACCTGGGAGGCCATCCTTCGCCCCGACCAGACGGTCGACGATGAACACGAGGTGTTCCTGGACATGAAGAAGGAAGAGTTGGGCACCGATGCCTAACACTCATCGGGCGTTCATCTAAACACAGAATATTTTTCAGACGGATGCGGCGAAAATTAGGACGCACCTTGCTATTCGAAGAACTGCGGTGTGTCCGTACATGCTATATTGTTGAATGGTGTAGAGCTTAAGAACATTTTTTTCGCCGAAACGAGTTTCTTCGCTGAACGCACGGAGCACGGTTGCTAGCGGGGGTAAGGGGGGTCCGCTCAGAGTTGTGGTTTTGGATATTATTAATTTCATTCATTGCGGGACCGAGTCTACACCTTTCGAATTGTTTGAGGCACCAGCCAGGGTCACACAGGATTGTCTTCCTTTCCTCCAGTGGTGCTAGCCTGCAATTCTTAGCGCAAAAAGGGCTCGGCAGTGACACTGGTCTTGGTCAGAGGAGGGTGGATTCTCACGTATGACTGTACACTCGAGAAGTACGCTGATGATATCAAGATGGTGTGGCGAGGACGTTTCCCTGCGATGACTGTCCTGCGTCGAATGCAGACGGCGGGACCCGAGCACCGCGCTAGCGAAGGCTACCAACGGCTCGGTGAAGAGTATGAACACCTTTATCTGTTCCAGTGGCACTCTGTGGGTTTTAACCGGCTTGCAGTAAATCCTATCGACCCTGACGGCCTGACGCAAGGAACGCACTGCTTCATGGACCGAGGTACCGGAGCCGCAGGTGGACACGCCTGGGCCTCGCCTGCTTCCGCTGCAGAGGAAGACGCCCTGGATTCCAGCGTTCCAGCGCCAACAGCAAGGCGACGACAAGGAAGAAAAGGAGGCGCAAACAAAGGGACAGAAATTCTGTGGAAAACGAGTTTTCGGATGAGATGCGTGCTCTGGACGCCGGGGACGAACCGATGACGAGATCCTCGTGGCACTTTCATCCCCTGAAAGATATTCCCCGTCGGGGGGCTCGGAGCCTGTGCCGATTGTTCTTCGAATAGGGATGGGTTGGCTAGAAACGGCCATCGCGCAACAGGCTCAACCGCGCACGCCACACCTGCCTGTACTCTACGGCTTCACAGCTTCCTCGACAGCGAAGACACAAAATGTGGCGTGAAACACGCTATCAGTGACCGAGACCTCGACCGAGGGGTCTTGGGCTCCGATAGTACATCTTGGGACAACAAGATGGTGCTCCCTGGATGCCTAGGAGGGGCAATATGAGAAGGAGGGAGGGGCACAAGCTGAGGGGGGGGGTGGTATCCCAGGAGGTTAGGGGAACGAGAGCAGCTGGGGGGGACGATTTGGTGTGCTGAATCGCTGAAAATGATTCTGAAGAGAGCAGGAACGCACAGAGAACACCGAGGAACGGGGGGGGGGTACTTGAACAGGAGCTATACATACGTTGAAGGGTGTATTCAACTAAGAAGTTGCTGCGCCGGAATTAGAGATGGGGGACAGGAAACGCAAGCAAGCGAGGATTGCGTATGTATGCAAGGACATGTTGTTGTTGGAGTACAATGACTGATGATGCCGTGTACGAAGAAGGAGTTTGTGCGGAGAATCAAACATTGATAGTCAAATTTCCTGTATAGACTACTCTACGCGTATAGGTGAGGGTGGGTGAATTCATGCAACGAACCTTGGACTCCACAACAAGCCAATATGGTGACAATTCCGCACAATAGCCACGGAGTTCTCTGTTTTATCGTGGCGGCCTTGCACCAATGACAGCAAGGAGGGGGTAGAGGAGGGAAGTTTGCAGGGGAGTCTACTGTACAGGGAGGGGTGGAAGTGTTGTGCCCATGTGGTGAACCCCGACCCCTACACATACATGCATGATGACGATTCGGCACAATCGCCACGGAGATGGCCTTGCACCAATGGGAGGGTGGAAGAGGGGAAATTGCAAGGGAGTCTACTGTGCAGGCAGGGGTGCAAGTGGTATGACCCTGCAGTGAATGCAACTCCCGTTCGTGTCTTTTCCTCTGTCTCCAGCATATAATATCGCTCGCCCCCGTTTCTCACGGCTGCTGCCTCCGGACGACAGCACTTGTTTGTTCCAGACAGTGAATGAGTACAAGGCCGCCAACAACAGCAGAAGAATACATGCTGTACACAACACCCCGTTCAGACCCCCGTAGCACATTCACCTGCTGCGCCGTGTAACTACCACATACCTTGCGGATGCCCGCGGGTCACAAGCAACCTCAAATAGAGTTTATTTATATATAGTCTACGTACATGATCAAGACACACACACTTGCGCACTTACGTAGTATAGACTATAGCTCAAAACCACACATACATGTGTACTACCGCAGTAGCCTTCGTAGGGATGGCATAATCCACCTCACGAACACCCTCTCTGATTCTGTACATCAATACGAATGCTCTCAAAAACCAAACAAAGTGTACAGGGTACTCAATAATCATAGAAAAAACTCCAAAAAAAGTAAACAAAACAAAACAAACGAGGGAAAACCCGGCCGCTGGATCAAAACCCGCCGCCCCCACGGGTCATGCTGCTGATTGAACTGTCAACACAATCAACACAGCAGTCACCACTAAGTGCAAAGCTACGCGTTTACAACTGTCAGGCATATAAAATACTCCTTTTCAAGTAGTCCCCTCCCAGCAACAGGATCCCCACTGTATCAAGTTGCTGTCAGCAACACGGCGCGCCTAAAGCCACAAGCACCAATGCCAAACCTCAGCGGAAAGACGTAAAACCTAACGCTACATCGCTCAATGATATTTTCAAGAGGGTGATCAACCAAGCGGAAGATCAATCAGTATCTCACCCACAAGCGGTCCGCCGCTTCGAGACACTGCCTGTACCATGCAAGGCATTTTTTCGCTACTCCTTCACAAGTAACCCGCTCCCAACTACAGGATCCCTACTGTATCAAGTTCTGTCAGCACCGCGGCGCGCCTAAGGCTTGTTATTTCTACGCTTCGGAAAAGTTGTGCAATTTTCCACGGAACGGTGCAAAGATTACCCAACCATTTTTCGCTTGTTCTGTTATTCGTGACGTCATCGCAAAGGTTTCCTTCCCTGAACACAGGGTTTGCTCGGCACAAAACAGGGTGACTTGGTGTTGCTCACCATAGAGCAGCGGTAAAAGCGCAATGAGCAGCACCCGACGCGGAGGACAACACAATTAGAAAGATCCTATACACTCGGCCTGCTGTTTTCAGTGATCAGCAACAACAGGCACCGGGCAGATTGTCGCAACCTGGGTTGTTTGTTTATNGCGGAGGACAACACAATTAGAAAGATCCTATACACTCGGCCTGCTGTTTTCAGTGATCAGCAACAACAGGCACCGGGCAGATTGTCGCAACCTGGGTTGTTTGTTTATTTTTTATTTTTTTTTGTTGCTGTTTCTCACATTACCCCTATAGTCCGCAAAAAATGGGGAGCCCGTGGTCTCGAAACCCGGCACATACGACGCCG